CCTGGTCTCTCTCTGGTCTCTCTCTGGTCTCTCTCTGGTGTCTCTCTGGTCTCTCTCTGGTCTCTCTCTGGTCTCTCTCTGGTCTCTCTCTGGTCTCTTTCTGGTGTCTCTCTGGTCTCTCTCTGGTCTCTCTCTAGTCTCTCTCTGGTCTCTCTCTGGTTTCTCTCTCTGGTCTCTCTCTGGTCTCTCTCTCTGGTCTCTCTCTGGTCTCTCTCTGGTCTCTCTCTAGTCTCTCCCTGGTCTCTCCCTGGTCTCTCTCTGGTCTCTCTCTGGTCTCTCTCTGGTCTCTCTCTGGTCTCTTTCTGGTGTCTCTCTGGTCTCTCTCTGGTCTCTTTCTAGTCTCTCTCTGGTCTCTCTCTGGTTTCTCTCTCTGGTCTCTCTCTGGTGTCTCTCTGGTCTCTCTCTGGTCTCTCTCTGGTGTCTCTCTGGTGTCTCTCTGGTCTCTCTCTGGTGTCTCTCTGGTGTCTCTCTGGTCTCTCTCTGGTCTCTCTCTGGTCTCTCTCTGGTCTCTCTCTGGTGTCTCTCTGGTGTCTCTCTGGTCTCTCTCTGGTGTCTCTCTGGTCTCTCTCTGGTCTCTCTCTGGTGTCTCTCTGGTCTCTCTCTGATCTAAAGAGAGTGTGTGCTCCTGTGTTTCTCAGTCTCCTGAGGAGGACCTGTTGGACGATGAGAAAGACCCGTTCGCAGCCCTGAACTCTCCAGGTACTAACACACAAACACTTCACCCGTAACACAAGACAATTATTCATTCTTCTGAACAAGAAAGTAGTCACTATTTGACTCTTTGGGTTGAGAACTAATAAGCTGAGTGAGGGTGGTCCTCTCTTTGTCACTTTTTTGATGAGAGAGACCAGAGAAAGAGAGACAGAGACTAGAGAGAGGATAGGGAGAGATAGACACCAGTGACCAGAGTGAGACCAGAGTGAGACCAGAGTGAGACCAGAGTGAGACCAGAGTGAGACCAGAGTGAGACCAGAGTGGGACCAGAGTGAGACCAGAGTGAGACCAGAGTGGGACCAGAGTTAGACCAGAGTGAGACCAGTGTGAGACCAGAGTGGGACCAGAGTGGGACCAGAGTGAGACCAGAGTGAGACCAGAGTGAGACCAGAGTGAGACCAGAGTGAGAGACCAGATTTTTATTTCAGAATTCCATATAGTTACGGACCTCAGCTTTAAGTGTCTCTGAGCTGTGTCTGTGTGTGTGTGTGTGCTCTGTGTCTGTGTGTGTGCGGTCTGTGTGTGTGTGTGTGTGTATGTGTGTGTATGTGTGTGTGTGTGTGCGGTCTGTGTGTGTGTATGTGTGTGTGTGTGTGCTCTGTGTCTGTGTGTGTGCGGTCTGTGTGTATGTGTGTGTGTGTGCGGTCTGTGTATGTGTGTGTGTGTGTGTGTGTGTGTGTGTGTGTTTAGATGAGGACCTCCCTGAGGCCCCTGTGGGCCCTCGGCCCCTGAGACTCTCTGAGCTCAACCTCAAAGAGAAGATTCCACCAATCCCAGAGGGCAGCGCCTTCTTCCTCTTCAGCCGCACCAACCCGTAAGACACAGTTTATATCAGTCTGTATCAGTCTGTATCACAGTTTATATCAGTTTGTATCAGTCTGTATCCCAGTTTATATCAGTCTGTATCAGTCTGTATCCCAGTTTATATCAGTCTGTATCACAGTTTATAGCAGTCTGTATCAGTCTGTATCACAGTCTATATCAGTCTGTATCAGTCTGTATCACAGTTTATATCAGTCTATATCAGTCTGTATCACAGTTTATATCAGTCTGTATCAGTCTGTATCACAGTTTATATCAGTTTATATCAGTCTGTATCAGTCTGTATCACAGTCTATATCAGTCTGTATCAGTCTGTATCACAGTTTATATCAGTCTGTATCAGTCTGTATCACAGTTTATATCAGTCTGTATCACAGTTTATAGCAGTCTATATCAGTCTGTATCACAGTCTATATCAGTCTGTATCAGTCTGTATCACAGTTTATATCAGTCTATATCAGTCTGTATCACAGTTTATATCAGTCTGTATCAGTCTGTATCACAGTTTATATCAGTTTATATCAGTCTGTATCAGTCTGTATCACAGTTTATATCAGTCTGTATCAGTCTGTATCACAGTTTATATCAGTCTGTATCACAGTTTATAGCAGTCTGTATCAGTCTGTATCACAGTCTATATCAGTCTGTATCAGTCTGTATCACAGTTTATATCAGTCTGTATCAGTCTGTATCACAGTTTATATCAGTCTGTATCACAGTTTATATCAGTCTATATCAGTCTGTATCACAGTCTATATCAGTCTGTATCAGTCTGTATCACAGTTTATATCAGTCTATATCAGTCTGTATCACAGTTTATATCAGTCTGTATCAGTCTGTATCACAGTTTATATCAGTTTATATCAGTCTGTATCAGTCTGTATCACAGTTTATATCAGTCTGTATCAGTCTGTATCACAGTTTATATCAGTCTGTATCAGTCTGTATCACAGTTTATATCAGTCTGTATCAGTCTGTATCACAGTTTATATCAGTTTTTATTATATGACTTGGATCGTACGCGCGCTCTGATTGGCTGATTTGCGGTCTGATATTTTCCCATCTCGGACCGTTACCATGACAATCGATCCGCAGCACGTATCAGACTTTGATATCTTTCCTCGGTAAAAAAAAAAGAGCAACGACTTTGAAGAGCCAGAGGAAGTAATAACAGCAAATAACAACAAAAACACAACTCCTCCTACAACAACAGTCAAGAAGAGATTGACAACTTCGTTACAGACCAGAAAGCTAAAAACACGATTAGGAAAACCAAGTCGGAGATCGATATTTGCATAAATGAAAAATAGTTCTATAATAAAACATTTATTAACCTCGCTCGCTCGGTCTGTACAAAAAGGCTGCGGTCTGATATTTCTCTGTACAGACCTGAGCGAGCGAGGTTAATAAGCCGTTAATTTCAGTCTGTGTCAGTCTGTATCACAGTCTATATCCGTCTATATCAGTCTGTATCACAGTCTATATCAGTCTATATCAGTCTGTATCACAGTCTATATCAGTCTATATCAGTCTGTATATCACAGTCTATATCAGTCTATATCAGTCTGTATCAGTCTATATCAGTCTATATCAGTCTATATCAGTCTATATCAGTCTGTATCAGTCTGTATCACAGTCTATATCAGTCTATATCAGTCTGTATCAGTCTATGTGTCTGTGGTTTCTGTGTGTTTTGTGGTTCTGTGTGTTTTGTGGTGTGGTTCTGTGTGTCTGTGATGTGGTTCTGTTTGTGATGTGGTTCTCAGTCTATATGTTTTTGTGATGTTCATGTGGTCTGTGTGTCTGTGATGTCGTTTTCTGTGTGTTTGTGATGTGGTTCTGTGTCTGTGTGATCTGTGTTCTGTGTGTCTGTGTGTCTCTGTGTGTCTGTGTGGTGTGTTCTGTGTGTCTGTGATGTCGTTCTGTGTTTGTGATGTGGTTCTGTGTGTTTGTGGTTCTGTGTGTTTGTGGTGCTGTGTGTTTGTGGTTCTGTGTGTTTGTGGTTCTGTGTGTTTGTGGTTCTGTGTGTTTGTGGTTCTGTGTGTTTGTGGTTCTGTGTGTTTGTGGTTCTGTGTGTTTGTGGTTCTGTGTGTTTGTGGTTCTGTGTGTTTGTGGTTCTGTGTGTTTGTGGTTCTGTGTGTTTGTGGTTCTGTGTGTTTGTGGTTCTGTGTGTTTGTGGTTCTGTGTGTTTGTGGTTCTGTGTGTTTGTGGTTCTGTGTGTCTGTGGTTCTGTGTGTTTGTGGTTCTGTGTGTTTATGGTGCTGTGTGTGTTTGTGGTTCTGTGTGTCTGTGGTTCTGTGTGTTTGTGGTGCTGTGTGTTTATGGTGCTGTGTGTGTTTGTGGTTCTGTGTGTTTGTGGTTCTGTGTGTTTGTGGTGCTGTGTGTTTATGGTGCTGTGTGTGTTTGTGGTTCTGTGTGTTTGTGGTTCTGTGTGTTTGTGGTTCTGTGTGTTTGTGGTTCTGTGTGTGTTTGTGGTGCTGTGTGTGTTTGTGGTTCTGTGTGTTTGTGGTTCTGTGTGTGTCTGTGGTTCTGTGTGTCTGTGGTGCTGTGTGTTTGTGTGGTTCTGTGTGTCTGTGGTTCTGTGTGTGTTTGTGGTTCTGTGTGTTTGTGGTTCTGTGTGTGTCTGTGGTTCTGTGTGTTTGTGGTTCTGTGTGTTTGTGGTTCTGTGTGTTTGTGGTTCTGTGTGTTTGTGGTTCTGTGTGTTTGTGGTTCTGTGTGTTTGTGGTTCTGTGTGTTTGTGGTTCTGTGTGTGTCTGTGGTTCTGTGTGTTTGTGGTTCTGTGTGTTTGTGGTTCTGTGTGTTTGTGGTTCTGTGTGTCTGTGGTGCTGTGTGTTTGTGGTTCTGTGTGTCTGTGGTTCTGTGTGTGTTTGTGGTTCTGTGTGTTTGTGGTTCTGTGTGTTTGTGGTTCTGTGTGTGTCTGTGGTTCTGTGTGTTTGTGGTTCTGTGTGTTTGTGGTTCTGTGTGTTTGTGGTTCTGTGTGTGGTCTTGTGAGTCACGATATGACTCTAGGTTACAGTCCTTCATGAATGTGAAAGCTGGTGACTGTTGAAAGAGCAGTTAGATGGATTTTAGTCACATTTGTGGATTGAAAGTTAAAGGATGACAACAGTTTTAAGATGACAACAAACTGTTAAACTATAAACGCATGCAGAGGGTCTGGCCAGGGCTTTTTAGTGGAATAATGGTTTACGACCGTGTTTATGGAGCCGTTTATTATCACACAGGAGCTGCACGTGTGGCTCTCTCCTGACGGGACCTCTCCTGACGGGACCTCTCCTGACGGGACCTCTCCTGACGGGACCTCTCCTGACGGGACCTCTCCTGACGGGACCTCTCCTGACGGGACCTCTCCTGACGGGACCTCTCCTGACGGGACCTCTCCTGACGGGACCTCTCCTGACGGGACCTCTCCTGACGGGACCTCTCCATGTGCAGCTCCTGGGACAGACCCCATGTGCTTCTGATCAACACTCACTTCCTGACCGCTTCCTGTCCCTTACAGATCTGCTACTGGACAGCTGCCCCCAGAATCACCATCTAACATACAGTATATGTATACACTATACAGTATATATACTATATATATACTGTATAAAAGACTTGCATGCAAAGCTATATACAAGGTCTGCCCATTAAACATTCAATGTAATTAGGAGGAAAGAGAGAGCAAGATGGCGCCGTGTCATGGCGCCGCAGTGAGAGCTCTAGTGTGCACAATCTGTGTTTTGTTGCCGTTTGTCTGTGAGTCACTTGCCACAGTGAAGTATGACCGAGAGGCGCTTCTTAACATTCGGGATCACGCGGGTGACGGGTCACTCGTACTACCCAAACTGAGGTGCACAAACTTCCTCGAGTGTCCCACTCGAGAGGCTGGTGGAGCACGGCAGGCGGGCCGCGGCGGTGGCCGCCAACAGAGCGAGGGGACTGGGCGTCTCTGGCGTTCTCTCCGCGGTGTGGAGCTGGGCACCTCGAGTCGGCAAAGGAGGCGCAGACACCGGGGAAGGCGAGGCGGTCTGCTCGTTCGTAGCTGCTCCTCCAGGACCCCTTTGCCCTCCATCTACCTGGCCAACGTCCAGTCTCTGCCCAACAAGACGGACGAGCTCCTGTGTCGGGTCCAGAGCCAGCGCGAGGCCCGGGACTGTGTTCTGCCTCAGCGAGACGTGGCTCCACACGAACGTCCCGGACTCTGCTGTTCAGCCCCCGGGATTCACCGCTCACCGCTCGGACAGAGCGAAGGAGACCACGGGCAAGGCCAGAGGCGGAGGTGTGTGCTTTTTAATTAATCAGCGCTGGTGCACGGACACTCGAGTCGTGAACCAAACATGTACTGCCAATCTGGAATGCCTGGTCTTGAGCTGTCGCCCTTTTTATCTTCCTCGTGAGTTTTCAGTAATATTTGTATGTGCTGTTTACATTCACCCACGGGCGGATTACAAAGTAGCCCTACAGGATCTGAGCCAGATCCTTCACAAACATGAGTCTGCTCATCCTAACGCAGTCATCATTGTTGCTGGGGATTTCAATAAATGTAATTTAAAGACTCCCGAACTTTTACCAACATGTGACTCGAGCTACAAGAGGAGCACATGTTCTGGATCACTGCTACAGTAACGTGAAGGGAGCTGACAGGTCCAGTCTCAGACCTCCTTTTGGAAAGTCTGACCACTCCTCTGTTCTCCTTCTTCCTTCGTATACTCAGAGGAGCAGGGAACATAAACCAACCTCTCGCACTGTGCAGTGTTGGTCTGAGGAGGCTAGCATGAAGCTACAAGGTTGTTTTGATGCTATGGACTGGTCTGTGTTTCAGTCAGAGGACGTCAATGAATTCTGTGACGCTGTGTCTGGATGCATACGCTTCTGTATTGACTGCTGTGTCCCACAGAAGGTCATTAAAGAACATTTTAGTCAAAACCCTTGGATGAACGCGGAAGTGAAACTGAAACTTCATGAGCGTGCGTTGGCGTTTCAATCAAATGATACAGTTGCTTATAAGCTATCCTGTTACTCATTGAAACGTTCTATTAAATCTGCAAAGCGCAGTTACGGGGACAGGTTAAAGAGTTATTTTGAGGAAGATGACCCTCGGCGCATGTGGAACGGTATTAAAGCCATCACATCGTGGAAACCTAGCGCTGGGAAAATTGCATCTGTCGGCCAAGCTCTGCCAAACGAGCTGAACACGTTCTACTGTCGCTTTGAATCTGCTGATGCCTGTCCTACTGTATTCCCTGAGTGTTTCAATCAAGGTCCCTTCACCGTGACTCAGGAGGAAGTCAGGCGTGTCTTGTCCAGGACCACAGTCCGGAAAGCCCCAGGCCCGGACGGCATCCCTCCTCGTGTCCTGAAACTGTGCTCTGAGCAACTTGCTCCTGTGCTAACAGACATTTTCAACCTGTCGCTAAGGAACTGTACTGTGCCGAACTGCTTTAAAGAGTCGACCATTATCCCAGTTCCTAAGAAAACTCCTGTGACATGCCTGAATGACTATCGTCCTGTGGCTCTCACTTCTGTTCTTATGAAGACTTTTGAGCGGCTCGTGCTGGAGTTCATTAAGAGCCAGATCCCTGTGAGTGTTGACCCGCTCCAGTTTGCTACAGACAGAACAGGAGTGTGGAGGATGCATCTCCTTTGCTCTGAACTCTGTCTACAGTCACTTGGACACTAGGAAATCTGTGGCCAGAATGCTTTTCATCGATTATAGCTCTGCTTTTAACTGCCTTGTCCCAGGTAAACTGATTGAAAAGCTCATGTCTCTGGGTTTAAGTGTTGCCATGTGTAAATGGATTTTTAGCTTTTTAACTGACAGATCTCAGAGAGTGTTTTTCTGATGTTGTTTCTGTGAGCACTGGTTCTCCTCAGGGATGTATTTTGAGTCCTTTGCTTTTTACTTTGTACACTCACGATTGTGTGTCCTCCTCTGACTCAAACTTGATCATCAAATATGCTGATGACACCACCATCATCGGTCTCATCAGTGACACTGATGAATCCTCTTATAGAGCAGAGATACAAAATGTGGTTCAGTGGAGTCAAACTAACAACCTCCAGTTGAACGCATCCAAAACATGTGAACTGGTCTACGACTTCAGTCGCAATAGTTCTCATTTGCCTGTCGTAATCGACAACTCCCAGGTGCAGATCGTAGAGGAGCAAGTTTCTGGGTTTAACTCTGTCTAACCTGAAATGGGTTAAAAACACTGACCGAGTCGTTAAGAAAGCTCGTCAGCGTCTCTACTTTCTGCGTAAACTTAGAGAATTTACCACTAACTCTAAGATTGTGCTTAACTTTTATGGCTGCACCATTGAGAGTTTACTTGTTGGTTCTGTGTCTGTGTGGTTTGGAAACATCACAGATACAGAAAAGAGAGCTTTAAACAAGGTGCTCCGCTCTGCAAAGAGGACCGTGGGCTGTGAGCTTCCTGTTCTGGAGGTTCTTTATAAATCCACACTTTTAAACAAAGCTCTTAGGATTGTTAATGACTCTTCTGGCCACCCTGGGAAAGCCATGTTCCAGCTTCTTCCCTCTGGCAGAAGATATCGCTCTCTGAGATGCAGGACATCTCGTTACGCTAACAGTTTTTATCCACAGGCTGTTATCAGTGGGAACAGAGCACTTTAATGATTTGCACTTGTTTTGAAACTGTTTTAGTCGATCCATTTCACAGTGACATTTGTTTACTGTTTTATTTGTTTTATTTCTGTCTTTTAATGTTGTTTTATGTCTGTATTTGTCTGTGCACACTGGAGACTTTTGCTAATGTATTCCAATGTGTTTTTTTTTACTGCAAATGGCAAATAAAATGAATCTGAATCTGAATATTACCTCTGAGGCCATTAATGAACCATTTTACCAATGTTTATATTTATTCAACATACTTTTTGGTGATTATAATTTTCCTGCCACTCGTTTTAGAAGCACTCGGTTTGATCCTGTGGTTTGGGTCTTTCCCCGAGACAGAGCCAACAATCTGTTTTATGCCTGTTAAATTCAACTGTAATTGGGGGTGGCACTAGGCTCACCAGTCCATATGTCATTCATTATTCATCTGCTAAGTGTCTTGAGTCCCTAAGGGTGTATTCAGACCTGCACATTTGCTCCACTTTAAACGGACCAGGATTCGTTTGGAACTCTGATCCGAATCTTTTATGCAGGTCTGAATACACACAAACGAATCCTGGTCCGGACCAAAGAACCGAACCGAGACCCACTTTTTGAGGTGGTCTCGGTCCGCTTCCAAACGAATTCTGGTCCAAGTCGAATCAGGTCTGAATACATCCGGTGTCGATCCGACACAACTCCAAGATACGTGCGCATTTTTTGGGCTTAACAAGCCGCAGACAGAAACTGAGGAATTAGCCACGCAGCGGCTAACTATGATGCTAACTATGCTGCTAACTATGCTGCTAACTATGATGCTAACTATGCTGCTAACTATGCTGCTAACTATGCTGCTAACTATGCTGCTAACTATGATGCTAACTATGCTGCTAACTATGCTGCTAACTATGCTGCTAACTATGATGCTAACTATGCTGCTAACTATGCTGCTAACTATGCTGCTAACTATGCTGCTAACTTGCTGCTAACTATGCTGCTAACTATGCTGCTAACTATGCTGCTAACTATGATGCTAACTATGCTGCTAACTATGCTGCTAACTATGATGCTAACTATGCTGCTAACTATGCTGCTAACTATGCTGCTAACTATGCTGCTAACTATGATGCTAACTATGCTGCTAACTATGCTGCTAACTATGATGCTAACTATGCTGCTAACTATGATGCTAACTATGATGCTAACTATGCTGCTAACTATGCTGCTAACTATGCTGCTAACTATGCTGCTAACTATGCTGCTAACTATGCTGCTAACTATGCTGCTAACTATGCTGCTAACTATGCTGCTAACTATGCTGCTAACTATGCTGCTAACTATGCTGCCTAACTATGCTGCTAACTATGATGCTAACTATGCTGCTAACTATGATGCTAACTATACTGCTAACTATGCTGCTAACTATGATGCTAACTATGCTGCTAACTGTGCTGCTAACTATGATGCTAACTATGCTGCTAACTATGATGCTAACTCTGCTGCTAACTATGCTGCTAACTATGCTGCTAACTATGCTGCTAACTATGCTGCTAACTATGCTGCTAACTATGCTGCTAACTATGATGCTAACTATGCTGCTAACTATGATGCTAACTATGCTGCTAACTATGATGCTAACTATGATGCTAACTATGCTGCTAACTATGCTGCTAACTATGCTGCTAACTATGCTGCTAACTATGCTGCTAACTATGCTGCTAACTATGCTGCTAACTATGCTGCTAACTATGCTGCTAACTATGCTGCTAACTATGCTGCTAACTATGCTGCTAACTATGCTGCTAACTATGCTGCTAACTATGCTGCTAACTATGCTGCTAACTATGATGCTAACTATGATGCTAA